CATAGAGTAAATCACAACACTTTATCTTAATATGATTGTTTAATAGATATTTAACTCCATCATACCTCTATCAAATGTCCATAATAAAACTATTCAGTCTGATTTCTTTAAACTTAACTATTATCTGATAAATATTTGACATTTAAAGCGGAATCTCTAAAGAATTCAGCTTATAATTTTGTAGAAAACTAAATTATGGCTCGAAATATGGAATATTTCAATGATGGTATTGAGTACCATATTTATTTTGTAGGTAGTATTTTTTTATATATTCAATCATATATTAATTTGATGTTTGACTGTTTCGACACAAATTAGTTGCTTTCTTTAGGCATACTGTTGTATTATTATCAACTTAAATAACTTTGTACATTAGTAGATTAGGCCCTTAAATACCATGGTACGGCCGAGGGTGGTAGGAATTCTCTCTCTCTCATGAAATGCTCTTACATGGCCACGCGTATACAGCCACTGATAGGGAAGTTCTACTCATTACCTTCTAGTGGCGGGGGTGTTGTTCACGAAATTGAGACGACGAAAAGCGAATCTCCGGTGCTTTAACTGGGTTGGTTGATATAGAGACTCCACCTAGGGGAGTTGGAAAACCCTGATTCCAAACCAGTGGTGCATATGTGCTCTAGTGTATTGAAGGAGAAAATGACATATGAAACTATTGTTGGTCACAGACTATCACGGGATTGCATCTTCTGACGTTGCTCGACTGCCTTGTGGGTCAGATCTTTAGGTCAAAGGCTCTGGGTGTTCTTCCCCTTTAAAGAAACCACCTGCTCCGATCTTGGCACCTGGACAATATCACAGCCTACACACAAATCAAGTGACTTGTGTGGTGCATATGTATTCGGTGCTCCGTTTGTATCAATATTTGTGTTCAAATATATAAATAGATGTAGATTAGTAACTATGGTTCAATGGTCTGAGGGTTCGACTTCCAGTCATTAGGTTGTGGGTTCGAAATCTTCACCAACTTTGGTTAGGCAACCAGCCCTTCACACTTTGAGCGTAGCTCAGAGCCAAGTAAATGAATTTGTCCTTGGTAAATAACTATTCATCAAAATAATGTTGCACAATAATCTCAAATTCTAAAGATTGTCATTTAAGTTACTCATTTTGTTGTAACGTGAAAAAGACTGCTGATTGGAGGTTAGCGAATTATCGACCAGATCAATGACACCTAAAACACGTACGAACGGTCCAGAGCTCTGACTGGCCCCGCTTCCCTGTCTAGCCCAGCCAGTTGAGTCCAGAATGCAAGTCTCAGCCTCTGAGATATGAATCATTATATTTCAGGCATACTCTGTTTATATACTAATCAAACAGACCACATCGTACTATAAAATAGAAAACGACATTTGTACAATACTTGACAAGTGAAATAAACATTGACCAATAGGAAATGTCCATTTAAAGGCCAAGGACACCATTAGACTTAACAGGATAATTATTGGTATATTTTTTCGAATATCCCAACACATTTATCAATAAATTACCACTTGAACTGTGTTTACATTATCCAACATTACGAAATTTCACATCTCTGCATCTCAAAATCTTACAATGAAAATGAAATGATTAGAGGTAATTGGAAACCCACTTACCAGTTACAGATTATTGTGTCCATCTTTGTGCCATGCTTTAAGTGTGTCGAATTGTGATACTATCTGATTTCTCAGAATGGATTGTATATACTGGTTTCAAACTCTATAATCAAGTAGATACAAATCGAAAGTCTTAACTAAAACTCAATATTTAGAGAAAAGTGAAGGATAAATTCATCTGTGCCTCAACAATCAGTTTAGATCAGAATGGGTTTTGTGGAGATTTTAGAAATTTCACTGGTTGAAATCATGAGTCAATTGAAGCTAGACCACCATGAAAAACCTGTAAGCACTGGACGACTGTTTCATCCTATTATGGGACTCCTCACCAGTGCGCATCTACGATCCCGCCGCCGTGGGATTCGAACCCAGGACCTATGGGTCTCGCGCCAGGCGCTTAACCATTAGACCACTGAGCTGGCCGACATCCAACAGTGTTAATGTCTAACTTCAACCAATCCACGAAATAGCGCCACCATACATCATTGTCATCAGTGAGTTGATATCTCACAACAGACCTGATTAAACTCCACTGATCACGGCTTCTCACTAGAACTCCAGGTTTTCCATAGTGGTCTAGCTTCAGTTGACTCTTGATTTCAACCAGTGAAATCAATTTATAGCTATGTCACATAAATTCATTAACAGTTGATTATACTTATTACTTGGATTTCAATCAATCATTTTTTCACTTTTCAATTCATCTCAGACTAGTAGTTAGGAAGTTATCTAATAATGCTTTCCATATCCGAATTAAACCCTACTACTTCCCCCTACCTACTATATTAGTTAGTATTCCATATTTTTATAGTTTGTTTCCAGGTGTGCGTTTTCTAATCATTTCAATGAATTAAGGTTTACGTCATGATTAACTTATTTATAACTTAAAACATTACACCTAATTATAGGATTACTGTTTTTCTATTACTTTTATTGTATGTAATCAATGTCTTTAAAAATGGACATAAACTTCATGTCCCTTATTTTTTCTCTTTCCAAATATATTTCACTGGATTATACTCGTTGAATAGCATCTTCAAACCCTAATCTTTCTGATTACTGCTTATACTTTTACTATCTCTACCACTATGTGATTTAAATCGACAATTGTATCTCTGTGCTAATATGGTATGGCAACTCGAACTGATTTACGTACGTACGTATGAAGTTCTACGTTGTTGCTAACTGACTGAATCTTTATTCATTACCTTCTATTGTATCTGATTAGTTAATTAATAATTATCCTTAATTCTATAGTGTAATTTATTTATCAATTATATTCAGTTGTTATGATACTATTTGATATAGTTTGATAATCTTAAACCTAAATAAAAATGATATAGGACATTATTTCTTATTGATTAATAGTTAAATACTTAAATTACATGGTCACTGCTCTTTATAATTCATTTATCTTGTTAGTACAATTCTATGTATATAGTTGTTATGATTAATATTTTTAAATAAATAGTAACCTACATAATAAAACAACAACAACAACAACAAAGGATAGGACATTTTCAAATCTGTCACATTCAATATTCATCATTTATCTTTCTTTTCTTTTTGTTTTGTTTTAATTTTGAATGTGAAGTCATTGAATTTATTGATTGAAAAATTATCTAAATTTATTACATATCTTGTTGTTATGGCCTCATTTCTAACACCTTCAGTAAGTCTTATTTTTTTTTCAAAAGGAAAGATAATACATTGGGTCATTGAAAAATCGACTGAATGTGATAAATGCACATGAGTAGTCACACAAAAAAAAGACTTACATTTCCTAGGTGTCATACATACACCACTGATGGCTTAATTTCCCAAGAGATGAATGAATAAATGAATGCGCATACATAAATGCTGATTTTGTTATTCAATAAAATTCCTTCTCCATTCTTAGTCTTTTCATTTAAGTAACCAATTAGGATCGTGTTATAGGAAGATCACGTATCGGTCTCAAAATTGAACATTGCATAACATAACATTTATAATTAAACGATAATATATTGTGGCAATCCGCTCAAACTGCTTATATTCTAACATAGACTGACCAATTGTAGTCTTAAATGTAAACAGTGAGAAAATTTATACCCTAACAAATTACTTTATTCCCAGTGAACAAGTTGATGGCTATCTGAACTCAGTAGCTTTGTGAATAATAACACGTTGATGTTTAAAATTATAGGTATTGGATTCAAATGCCACTGTAAACATCAACACTGAGATTCAGGTATGTTTGATTGAAGAATGTCAAATAAGATAAGTCTTTTCGAAATCGAATAAAACAATTTCGATTTATATTTTTTATCGAATTAGCTGGTTGTGAATTTTCATCGACAGAGATGGTTAGGCCATGTGTTACGTATACCTGAACACTGATTACCACGACGTACAATGCTCACTAGTGTTGGGGGCAGCCAAAACAAAACATCACATCAGTCCTTGAAGTCACTATCTTCTAGTCTGAGACATGTTGGTAGATGCATACTAATTGATTGTGGTTCGCGTGACTATTGTAATCAATGGTTAGAGACTCTAGGTGATATGGCTCAGAATTGATTACAATAATGTAGGTGTATACACTCTCTGTCTTCCCTTAAATTATGAGATTAAAATTGCTTCATATGTTTCTTTCTACGAACTAATTCTTTCTTCCTGTATATAGTCTTTCTTTTATATATTACCCATCATTGAACTAACTACTTCTATGAATTTGATTAAGATCATGAACCAATTGGTGTTAGACCACCATTGAAAACCTGGAAGCACTGAACGGCCGTTTCGTCCTATTGTGGAACTCCTCAGTGATAGTGCGCATCCACGATCCCGCTCGCGAGATGCGAACCCAGGGACTTCAGTCTCGCGCGCGAACGCTTAACCTACTGAACCACTGAGCCGGCATCCAATCCCGCGAGCGGAATCGTGGATGCGCACTTCCACTGAGGAGTCCCACGATAGGACGAAACGGCTCTTCAATGCTTCCAGGTTTTCAATGGTAGTCTAACATCAATCGGTTCATGATCTCAATGAAAACTTAACAATCTCCACAACCACAATACTGATACTTCTATGTAATCGGTGTTTATCTTGTTGTGATAATGAGGTATGGCAACTTGGACCGATGCATATATGTGCCTGGTCCTACATTGTAGCTGACTGACTGATAATTGACTAAATCCATCATCTATTGCTGTATATTTTTACAGTTTAATATTTCAGGTAGTTGACCGTTTAAACTAATTAATCATATAACAACTTTACATTTGACTGTTAACTAAATGTTTTTAACATTACCCAATAGAATAGTTATACTACAATGTATCCTTCATATAAAATATTATCAACACAATTTTTCTTCCTCTCTCTCTTTCCATCTTATTTCAGGTTTACATGAAGATGATTTCTCTAAACGTATTAATACATTCGGTGCTAATGTTATACCACAACAACGTGCTAAAACATTTTTAAGATTAATGTGGGAAGCTTTACAAGATTTAACATTAATTGTTTTAATTGTTGCTGCATTCATTTCACTTGCATTATCACTTTATATAAAATGTAAGTTAAATTGATTTTAGTTATTGTTTTCCATATTATTATTATTATTATTATTATTATTATTATTATTATTATTATTATAATATCTTATATTCAGTTTAATATGATTTTTAAGTAGTGATAAATGGTAAGCTTAAGCGGTATCGCGTATCTTGTGCATATTGCTTCGATATATTACAAATAAGTCCTAAAGTGAACATTAAATTCGTGGATACATGTATATCCAGTTGTCGAATGATGAATAGGATGGAATTCAGTTCCTGGATTCCATTGTTATTAACCATCCATCTCTACTTTAGAAAAAAACGATGCTTTTTTATTTACTGGTAATATTGAATTTAATAATCAAACAATTGCAGTCCTAAACATTAATGAAAAGATTCAGACAACCAAGTTATTTGAATTAAAATCAATGTGATTTCTATTTATTTATTTATTTGGACACATAAATACTGGTACAAGGGGGCTGTGATACTGCTCGATTGACCAAATCGAACCAGGTGTTTTTCTGAAGGGGTTACAACCGGAACCTTTGACCTAAAGGGTCTGATCCACATGGCAGTAGAGCAACGTCAGGAGATGCAGTCCAATGATAGTTGGCGACCAACGATTAGTTCATACGCCATTTGTCCCCCCAGGATACTTGGACCCATGTACACCATCGGTTTGGAAAGAGGGTTTTCCAACTGCCCTAAGTGGACTTCGAACATTCTCTTTTCGTCCTCCCACTTTCGTAAACAACACTCCCGCCATGAGAATGCAGTGAGTAGCACTTCCCTGTCAGTGGCTGCATACGCGTGGCCATATAAGATCATTTCGTGAGGGAGAGATAACTCTCCCCACTCTCGGCCGTAACAGGGCATTTGAGGGCAATGTAATTTGTAGATAATTTTTACCATTGAATATAATTCTTTCTAACTTTTCCTATAAATACTCCTTGTATTTATTTACATGATAAAAATAATTTAATCTAAGATACATGTATAATTTCGTTTATTCTGTAACTTGTCAGTACTATCTTTGTCTAATTGAGATAGTGGGGAAGATTTGTAGCTCAGGTGGATGATTATGGTAGAGTTTTATTCTCTCAGCCGGATGGTTTATACGCAGTTGGTTTTGTGAGTTCTTCTGTTGTTGCTACTGTAGTTGAGAATTTGATCTATGTGGATCTAACTAATGTTCATGCCACTTGATGGATAACATTTTGATACCGGTTTTGAACTTCAATACTAAAAACATTACTGAGTGAAAGATGGATTTACTACTGTAGAAGTTTTGTACCCCTGAGACATGAATGTAAAATAGAAGACAGGATGTTTTTTAAAAGATGTCGTGCTTTCAAGACTTTTTAGTGCATAAAAGACAAGTGTATTTATAAGGGTCCTATGTAACTTCGAAGTTCTTGAAGCTTATGAAGAGCAGATTAAAATTAGATAAATGAGAATTGGGTAATTGTTCATCAAGGAGAGTAAAACCACCTGGTATGGCCGAAAGTGAGGAGAGTTATCTCTCCCTCACGTAATGATCTCATATGGCCACGCGTATGCAGCCACTGACAGGGATGTCTTACTCACTGCCTTCTCTCAAAGGGAATGTTGTCTATGAAAGTGAGAGGATGGAAGGTAGACGTCCAGAGCTGTAACTGGATTGATAGATATGATTGATGCACCTAGGGGAGTTTTAAAATCCTGATTCCAAATCAGTAGCTCACATGGGCTCCAGGATCCTAAAGGAAAAAATGGCGGGCGTATGAACCTATTGTTGGTCATCAACTACCATTAGACTGTATCTCCTAATGTTTCTCTACTGCCTTGTGGATTAGATCTTTCGATCGAATACTCGAGGAGTGGTTCCTAAGAAAGCCATCTACATCTGTTTTTACGCCCGGGTTAGTATTTCAATCCTCATACATATCGAATGATTTATATGGCGTATATGTATTCATTCCCTTCTTGTATCAATATTTATGTTGAAATAAACAAAATCAATTAGTTAAATAGAAGTTTCTTTAGAATAGTAACATAATCATTTTAGTATTTCTTCAGCTTTTGAAGACATATTTTTTTAACGAATTATTAATAAAACTTTTCTACATTGACATGTAGGTGGTATATCCAATCAACGAATGTTAAATAAAATGAAACATCTATTCTAAATTTCATCATTATAGAGTATTATTCTTACTGTAATTGTTTGTTCAAGTGTATATATATATATATATATATATCAATGTGTGTGTGTGTGTGTACTGAATTACTTTTTTACAAAGGATTACTCTTTCATTATTATCACTTTAGTATCAGAAAGAGTTTTGTAGAGATTGTAATCATTTCAATAGTTGAAATCATAACTTTGTTATGTAATACTTGTTCATTTATTCTTTTCTGCCTACACTTTATTAGTTGACAATTAAAAATGACATATTCAATATAACTATCTATTATTATTGAGTCATTATGTTACTTTCAATGATTCTTTATTTATTTGGTATAACAATGTGGAGGGTGAAAAAGAGAGAGTGAGTAAGAGAGAGAGAGAACATATATCTGTATTAGTAACTATGTGTATTCATGTGTTGTAAGTGTTTGGATTTCGTTTAATGCTGTTGTAAGATAATGACATGTTGTAACTTAATTGAAAGTATGATAAAATTTCTAATAGCATTGAAGGTTATTTTTAGATTTAAAAAAATAGTAAGATCAACGAGCTAAACGATGTTTTAAGCATATTTTGTATCTATGACTCAATGATACCTATAGTTATGTCCTGATATGAATAATGAATGGTAACTTTTAGGATTCATTTATAGACCAATACTAAACGTATATTTTTATCGTATAATTGTTAAATAACTAAACTTATTCATATTCATGTCCCTCTTACCATAAGGTTTATTTTGACCTATGAACTATTATTATACGATTTACCAGTCTTGAATTATACCCTGTCTATTAATTACTATCTTCCATATTCACTGCCACTTTTGGCCAAATCGTGTAGAAATGTTGTTTCCTATTTTATGGTACGATATGGTCTGTTTGATTGGTATATAAACCCCGTATGATTCATATCGCAGAGACTGAGATTGGTATTCTGGACTTAAGTGCCTGGTCTAGGTAGGAAGCAGTACCGATAAGTACTCTAGACTGCTCGTACGGGTTTTATTTGTTATTGGTCCGATCGATAATTCGCTGCTATTTAATCGGCGGTATCGTTACGTAATACATTAACAGGGCACATAGGCCACAAGTTATAACACCTACTTTCCTATTAACAATGTAACAATGACTATGCTAGGCATGTATCCCACCCTCTATGCCTAAAATGCGTACCATTGTCTCTTAATTTTACAAGTTCTCTACTTTATAGTTTCATTTTATTGTCATGGTTCCATCAATATTCTGTATAACCTAATGATAATTTTCATCAAAAATAAACAACTGACATTAGTTGATAGATTACATTCACACTTATCGAGTTACTGAATAGCTAACTGTTAGATCTGAAGCTATCACGAGTTCACTTAATCTGCGAACGAGAACAAAGACTCAGTGACCAAAGACCAGTAAGCTAGCTATTTGATGCGTCCCAGCCCCGCTAACTAGAGGAAGAAGTCCAAGCTTGGAATGGGGAAGTATATTCTGCAAAACAGCCAGAAACGAGCGATAACAACAAACACAATTCAAAACGTATATATACAGTGCAAAACCGTCCTTAGGGAGAGTTACCATATAGCATACTAAAAGACGCAACAGACCAATAGCATTTAAGATATTTCCCAGTGGGAAATACAACATTAAGATGGGAAAGAGCGCCTTTGGCGCGAAAATAAAGAAATTCAAATTTTCTAAATAAAATTACAAAATTAGGTCCTTTCTCAAGTGAGTTCTGGGGATCTAACATCCCCAACACTAACAATGTTCATTTACGTTTCCTACTGTTCAAGTATGGATATTCGTTGTCAAATATATATATATATCTTTGAACCTATTACAATCCAATTTCTTTTTCCATAATTGATTATCATATCATATACAAATGGATTCAACATTTATCAGTCAATATTTTATCGACAATTTGATACACTTACAGCCCCCCAATAAAGTATCTGGAACATTAGAATGAAGTAACACTATTCAGAGCGTGTTTTTTATTTGAGTTTGTGTTTATTATTATTATTATTATTATTATTATTAGTTGGCATGATGATTTCATTTCTCTTCACTTTTTTTTTCTCTTGTCTCGTCATATATTATCGTCAGTCTTTCTCTTTAATCATCATTTCATTCGAACTATTCAAGATAGAAACAGAGAAAGAAAGAAAGAAAAAAAAACGAAGGAAATAAATAATAATTATATATTGTTTGCCATGAGAAAAAAGAATAGAAAAGTATTTTTTTTTCTTTGGAGAGAGAGAGAGATGGGAAACTCTTAGTAAATGAGAAAAGAAAATCATTGAATTAGTTTTTTATTTCATGTTCAATTCAATTCAAAGGGAACACTGTCATATTTTTGTGTAGTCAATAGTATAAATTCGTCTTTAGGTTGTGAATCATCGGTTTTCGTTGTATTTTTTTTTTCATTTTGATAACTGAAACTAAAAGAACAAATATAAGTGAATATGGATAGTGACTAGTAATGAAATCCAGTTTGACGCACGTTTCGTCTTGTTTGGAATTCGTTAGTTGAATATACCTGCATCTCAGAGTTGATATAGTCCCAGATTGAACATCAAATAGGACGAAACGCGCGTCAAACTGGATTCCACTGTTAACCACTATCCATCTTTGTTTATAATGCTTGTAAATGAAGGGAATATCGAGGCAATACACACAGTATGCACATATGCCAATAAGTGACTGATCAATTGCAGTCCTAAGTAACAATGGGAAGATTCAAGTAAAAACAATATTAAATGAATTCAAAGAACAAATGTTCCAACAAATACATCTCAATTCACTCTTCACCGTTGTCAAACTTGACCACTACATTAAAGTAGT